GACTAGTCACAATAGCAAAGACTTGGAACCAACCTAAGTGCCCATCAAAGTTAGACTGGATAAAGAAAATGTGGCACACATACACCATGGAATATTATGCAGCCATAAAAAAGAATGAGTTTACGTCCTTTGCAGGGACGTGGATGAAGCTGGAAACCATCATTCTCATCAAACTAATACAAGAACAGAAAATCAGACTCCACATGTTTTCAGTCATAAGTGGTAGTTGAACAATGAGAACATGTGGACACAGGGAGGGGACGGACTGTCACACACCTGGGCCTGTAGTGGGGTGAGGGGCTAGGGGAGGGATAGCATTAGGAGAAATATGTAATATAGATGATGGGTTGATGGGTGCAGCAAACCACCATTGCATATGTATATTTGTGTAACAATCCTGCACATTCTGCACATGTATTCCAGAACTTAAAGTGTATAAAAATTTTTTCCGAATAGTAAAATAGATATACTCTCTTGTGTATATATTCTCAACTTCATTGCCCTTTCTTTACTTTGTCCTCTATCCATGAACAAAAACTCTAATACAATATCAACTAACTTCTAAGGTTTCTTTGAACACTGCTGTAGAAAAACATGCAAATATACTAACTGGTCTCACTTCAGATATATGTTCACCAATCTCATACTGTTGCAGCTTCTTCATTCCTGTTGTTCAGCTAGTGGGAATGAGTGGCACACAGTGGGTTTTTTGCTCCTGTTGCTCAGTAAGCAGGAAGGAATGGTGCTCAGTGAGCAGGAAGGAATGTTGCTCAGTTACGTTTTTGTTCCCGTTGTTCAGTGAGTGGGATGGAGGGTTATATCTCTTTTGTTCCTGCTACCCATAGCTTGGTGAATGGGAGGGTTACAGATCTTTTGTTTCCACCATGCACTGCACAGCTTGGTGAATGCTGAGTTCTTGTCTCATGACCAAGAGGAATAAAGTACAGGGACACCAGAGAGTGAGTAAGTTAGAGAAGAATTTTGTTGAGCAACAGAAGGAAAGCTCTTAGTGTAGGGTACTCTGAAAGTGGGTAGCCCTCTGTGAGGCTGAGTCTGGGATTTTTATGGGCTTAGAATGGGGGGTTACTACTTACTAATTGGTCCATGAGTGGTCTTGGGAAAAGCAGCATTCAATTAGTAAAAAGACATCATACAGAAGGAACCAATCGAGAGAGTGAGTGAATTGGGTATAGAAGTTCTCACTTTGGTTGTGGACTCTATCCAGAACTGGCAGTTCAGTTTTGGGCTATCTTTGGCTTGATGGTTGACTTTCACTGGGACCTGTCCTTGTCTGCTTAGGAATCTGTCTGTCTCCTATTGCTATCAATACAATATTTCCTCATTTTATTTACTTTCCCTCTTTTTGATGACTATTGTACATCTTTTCTCTGCCCTTACATTTCCCAATCCCTCATCCTCCATTCGCTTTCTTAGCCGATGGTCTTTCTGATTTTATTGAGAAAACAAACTAACAAAAAAATCAAAAGGGAGCTCCCATATGATCCCACCACCACATTTCCCTTACTGCTCTCTTTTCAGTATGGTCTCCTCTCTGCATGTTGTGTATACTCAATCTTTGCGTTTTTTCCACAAGATCTCATCACCTTTCTCCTACCTCAGGAGATAGTTCTAAAATTCCTCCTCTCTCTTCTCTATTATCAATTTTTTCTTTTCTACTAATCTTTTTATCAATTGGCATAAAATGTACTATTTTCCCAATCCAAAAATGAAGTTTTCTTACATGTCTTTGTCATACTTATTCTTCATGCTAATTTGTCATTTATCTGTATTTATTAATAAAGTGATAAATTATTCAAATTGATTTATAGTCAATCATGTTGTCATTTCTTTATACCATAATAGAGTAGTTAATTAATGCAGCATAAAAACTTATTTTCAAGTTACATACATTTATTCATAAACTTGAGACATATTTTACATTTTAATGTTTTATGTCCTGTACCCTACTTAGCTAAGAAGTTCAGAGCATATTTCACCATTAAGTTATGTGTTTAAGTTCCAGGTAAATTATTCATTCATAACCTCCCAAAAATATATCATCCTGATTTTTTTTTTTTTTTTTTTTTTTTTTTTTTTTTAGCTGGAGTTTTGCTCGTTGCCCAGGCTGGAGTGCAATGGCGCGATCTCGGCTCACCGCAACCTCCGCCTCCTGGGTTCAGGCAATTCTCCTGTCTCAGCCTCCTGAGTAGCTGGGATTACAGGCACGCACAACCATGCCCAGCTAATTTTTTGTATTTTTAGTAGAGACGGGGTTTCACTATGTTGACCAGGATGGTCTCGATCTCTTGACCTTGTGATCCACCCGCCTCGGCCTCCCAAAGTGCTGGGATTACAGGCTTGAGCCACCGCGCCCGGCCATCATCCTGATTTTTTAAATTCTGAGGAGAAAAATATAATCTCCTAGTTAAGTGGAAAATTCCATAGTTGGCTTCTGTAAGACTTTCATTCTAAGCAACTTTAAATGGAAACATTTTGTGTAGAAGTCTAAATTTTCTTTCTTTATAGTAATTCACATTCATTGATTGGTATTCTTATTAGTCAGTTGAATTGATTAATACTCCTAATTTTGTTAATAGATTTCAACTTTATATTTTTAGTCCAATTGACGTTAGAATTTATTATTACCATACACAAGATCCATAGTACTGATCTAGTATTTCCAACTCTAATAAATAAGAAGAAAAGAAGAGAGAAAATCATACTTGAATTCCTGGTCAAGAATTTGTTTGGACATATTTGTGGTAGATGCTGGCAGAAAAATGTCTGTAGGTCTGGGGTGTCGCAGCCTTTACTCAGGACTGCTCAAGGATCTGAAGTCACCCAATTCCCGTCTCCTAAAGGGCATTTATTTCCTGACTTCTTAATGCTTAGTTTCAGTCTTAAAAAAAGATATTTGTGCAAATTTGTGGAAATTTTGAAGTGCTTGCTTTTCCTTAGTGCTTTTTTTTTTTCTTAATTCCAAATAGATATTCTCTTTCTCAAGACTGCAGCCCTACTTTTGCGTCTCACTCAGCTGCATTTGCCCAAGGTGATCACTAGTTGCTCTTTTAAACATTGTATTTACTTGCTGTCCATAGCACTAAATTCTGGGTTTCTTTTTCCCTCCTGGACTACCCATTTCTCCATCTCCTTGGCAGTTTCTCTTCAGGATCTAATTGTTTAACATTGTTCAGCTTCAGGACTAATCTCTTGGACCACTTATCTATCTACAAAGACGATTTTCTGACTCCGTGGCTTTCAATCTCATGTAATTGCTGATGACTTACAAATTGTAGTCTACTACACATGCTCCTGAGCTTCACTTAACATCTGGCCATTCAATAAGTTTCTCAAACTTAACATATTTATAATTAAACTCTTAATTATTCATCCTAGTTCCATTGCAGTCAAACCTATTCTCCATTTAAGTTAATGGTGATTTTTGCTTGGTCTTAGGAAAAAACAAATAAAACTTTGCCTTTTTTTCTTACAAAGGCTACATTCTTTTATTTAGCTAATCCTGTTTGCTGTACCTTCAAAATACATTGCCTGTATTTGACCACTTCCTGTGACCTTCACTGCTATTACCCTTGCCTCCATTACCTCCTGCCTGTATTACAGCCATAGCCTCTATGAGAGAATCACAGTTCAGGTGTGTTCTTGCTCTGAGGATTTTGTACTTGTCCTCTCTGTCTGGAATATATTTTTTTTTAGTAAACTCCATGGCTTACTTATTTACTATCTAAATTCTCTGAATGTTTCTTCTCAAAACTGGAAGTATACTCCTACCTAGCAGCAATTTCCCTCTGCTTCACTGGTTTATTCTTGTCCAAAAGACTGATGTTTATTCAGGGAGATTATAAGTTTCAAGAGGACAGACATTTTTATTTTTTATTGTATCTCCAGGGCCTAGAATATACTGGCACATTGAATTTTCCTCTGCATTTTTTTGGCAGTCAGATGAAAATTGGAACTATGACCTATAGCATAATTCTTATTATCAGTTATAAGGATGCCTATCAATTTTTATACAAAATGTTGCCTTAAACTAAATTATACAAGAAATATATAGGGTGAATACTATAAAGTATGCAAGTAAGCATAGGAATAATGCCTGAATAGTTTTAAAAATAAATTCAGTTATTGTAATTCTATTTGTGTGTTCTATACTAATACTTTTTAATGGTTAAGTGTATAACATGAAAGATATGTATACTAAAGACAGAAGTCATCTCTATTTCTTTAAAATAATTTGAAATAATTTTTATAAAGGTAGCAGTTTAATGTTATGAGCAATACATCACCCTCATGTCATATGCATAGCCGCTCATGATCCATAACATGTAAATGTTTCACCTTGGCTTCAGCATTATGTATGGACAAAATTAAACATATCTTTTCCCAGAATCATTGTGAATAAAGGTCATATCTGTAAAATCATGTTTATCATAGAATCTGTATCATAGAATTTAAAAATTACTAAAAGTAGAAGTGACCACAGTAGAAAAACAAGTAAATGCATTACAGTATATGATGAAATATTACTTAACCATCAAAGTTTATGTTTTCAAAGAATTTTGAGTTTATGAAAGTTATAGTTTTATGAAAAAATCTCTATATAGCTACAGAATTCTAATTGGAATAAAATGCACCAAAATGTTAACTGTATTTCCCTCTAGTTATAACATTATAGATAATTTTAATTTTATTCTCTTATTTTTGTATAGTTTCCAGAAAGTCTATAATGTTTGGTTGTAGTTTTATAATAACATCAGAAATAATAAACATAATTTTTAAGGGATTAGTACTTCTTCCATAACTATGTTTTGCTTTCTGTTCATTGATGACAAAAATTTATGTTTTGTTAGACTTGAATAGACCACTAGTATTTAATGATAATCATTTTTAATTTCAGTGTACAATATATTGTAACCTAACTTTTGCTTTTTAGACAGTTTTTAAAGTGTATCTCAGAATTGTACTTTTTCTCCCCCCTACAGACAGCCTTTTGATTGATTATCAGTTTACCTTCAGCTTATTACAGGAAGATGATCGCCACCATACTGCTATAAACTTTATAGCAAACCCAGAACAGGTGAGGAAAGCGTGTTATCTTTTAACATATAGTTTTACTAGTGTCAATGGACACAAGTTGTTTTTTTTTTTCATCTTTCATTGTGATTTTACCTCTTGCCAGAATTATCACATTGTAGGGCCATTATAGAAACTACCAATAAAACTGATAATTTTTTCTGTCTATGTGATTAAATAATTTGTGAGTTTGATATTACAGACTTTGCAAGTATGTGCATATATATATATATATATATATATATATATATATATAATTTTTTTTTTAGACAGAGTCTCACTTTGTCCCCCAGGCTGGAGTACAGTAGCTCCACCTCAGCTCACTACAACCTCCACCTACCAGGTTCAAGCAATTCTACTTTAGCCTCCCGAGTAGCTGAGATTACAGGCATGCACTAGCATGCCCGGCTAATTTCTGTATTTTTAGTAGAGACAGGGTTTCACCGTATTGGCCAGGCTGGTCTTGAACTCCTTACCTTTCCTGCCTTGGCCTCCCAAAGTGCTAGGATTACGGTCATGAGCCACCACGCCCAGCCAATAGCCCTATATTTTAAATTTTATATTATTTCTCTCTTTATATATTCTTGTAACAAAATTTATGCCTATAATTATACAAACACAGTTTGTTCTTATTTTAAAAATAAAACTCATGAATTCAAAGCATACTATATTAAATGTTTTCCTTTTTTTAATACTATTTCATAGTAATAGGTTTTTATTATCTTTTTATTAAGTCCATACTTTGAGTTATATGAATGATGGCTTCTTTAATGAAATTATCACATCATCGATATAATTGTATGAGCTTTTGAAGTTTAAAATATGAAAGATTAATTGCGAATTTTACTATCAATTCATCGATTCAGTAAAACACTCTTAGGTTGTCTAGAAATAACACACATATATTGCTATCCTTCTGGGGCTTTATTAATTTTAAAATCCTGAGAATGGAAATGTCAACCATAGCGTTTAGTTGGGTTGAATTTTAGTTCTTTTAAAACTAACACTCCTACATTTTAAATGAAGTTATGTTAAATATAAGTAATACTCTTATGATGAATTAATCCATATTGTTAAATTCATGTCAAGTATTTAATGGTTTTTCAAATAGGTGAGGCTTCTAAATATATTAACATCTTGACATTTTCCAACTTCTTTCCTTTTAATATAGTTCATTGGACTTGCTGACAAATAATATAATTTCTTAAATTTTTCTTTTTCAGTAAAATAGCATTCTGCCTCACCCCTCACCAACAAAAGAACAGTTCATTTTACATTTTATGTTTCTCTTTATTCCTTAGACTTTAAGAAAGACTATATTTTTGGGGAATGCATTTAAAGATTGACTTTTAAATAAGGAGTTCAAAGATATTTTGTTTCAAATACAAGCCTTCCTTTCCTGATGATCTGTTTCTATAAAGATATATTAATAATCTCAGAAACTGCATTTATAAATTTGATAAAGTTTTTATATGTGCATTATAATCCCCATTGATTTTTTATTGTAGTAAAATATACATAAGGTAAAATGTATTTTAATCAATTTAGGTGTATAATTCAATGGCATTAAGCATATTTACAGTGTTATGCAATCATCACCATCATCCACATGTGAAACTTTTTCATCATCCCTAACAGAAACTCTGCATTTATTAAGCAATAATGTCTCATTGCACACTTCTCGGCAGCCCCTTTATTCACTCTCCGTCTCTATGAATTGGCTTACTCTAGGTACCTAATATAAGTATATTTTGTCCTTTTGTACCTGGGTTATTTCACTTAGCGTGTTTCCAAGATTCATCCATGTTGTAGTAAGTATCAGAAGTCAGAACCTTTGGCTTCTTGATCGTTAGTAATAATTCTAAACCTGTGAGGTTGTTTGAAAATCTAAAAAATTTAATGTAAGAGGGAAGTCTGACTCAAAATTTGAAAATGAATAGTATTCCTCCTATTATCCATAGTGTCATACACTTATGTCCAGATTAGCCACAATTCTAGTTTGCTTCTGCCTTCCCCATTTTCTCCTTTAATTTCCAGCAATTCAAAGTGCTTTCCAATGTCCCAGCTTTGTTTTACTTTCTACTATCTTGTCCAGTTGAAGCCAAGAAACCAGACACGTGTTCTGTGAAACTTAAGGATGCAAAACTGTCATGAGAGGCATCACTAAGAATGCTTATATTATCATTTTGTGCAACCCCCTTTAATTAAAGATGTATTCACCTGGGAATAATCTCTGAAATTATTATGTATTATTGGCCAAGCCTTCTTATTCTATAAGAAAATAATAATAAAAAGTAGATATCTTAACTATGTATACATTTCCTACATTTTGACAGATTTAATTTTAACTCACTAGCCATCACTTCTAGCTAGTACTTTCATGTGAACAATTTTGGGTCAGGTTTCTGTATAACATTATTTTGTCAAACTTATCCATAATTAACCAACAATGTTCTAAATAACTAATTTTATCATTTACTGGGATACCTACAGTGTCACTTTTTCAGTACAGCTTTTTAAACCCTAAATGCTTTTTATATGGCTTTAGTTGCGGTACCATATAATTCAGCAATGCCTAAACTTGGAATTGATAGAAAATGAACTAAAAGTTCAAAAACAGTTTTATAGGTTTTTTTTTTTTTTAAATATCAACTGGAAGTTTTGCGTGACCTTTTAGCAACAACAGTTATGCTAATATTAATCTCATCCAGCATAAGGTACACATAATTAAGAAGAGGCAATTTCAAGAGGAAAGAAAGATTTAAGCTTCCTTAAGGGTACAATGTTTTCACCATGCTTTACTTTCATAAAGAAGTTATTTGGGGGCTGGTCCGAGTGCAGTGGTGTTTACAGCTAATTGATCACAACCAGTTACAGATTTCTTTGTTCCTTCTCCACTCCCACTGCTTCACTTGACTAGCCTTAAAAAAATTAAAAAAATAAAAAAATAAATAAAATAAATAAAAGTTATTTTGGAACCACTTCATTAATAGTAAAAAATCCACTCCTCAAAGCATGTTTTTTTTTCTTTATTTTGTTTGGTTTCATTTTTTGAGTTCCCCATCCTCTGGGTGAAGATGAAGATGAAGATGACGAAAGAGGAGAAAAAGAATATACCATGTCACTACACCTAATATTGATAACAACATAACAACACTACGATTATAAGCACTATGAGCTGAAACCAAAGTTTTATCAGAAATTACTTCATTTAATGCTCATAAGAGCTTCTTGAGGGAAGTAATTATATCCCCGTTTTAGAGATTAGAAAAGTGATTTTTGGAAAGGAAAAGTAATTTCCCCTAATCAATCAGCCTGTACATTAAAGACCTAAGATTTCAAAGGTTATCTGACTCTTCACTGATTCTCTTTGTTGCTTCATGAAAATTATTTACTGAATATAAAAGTGTTATTGGATTCAAGTCTGGTTAGTTTATTATGATGACATAAATCAATATTTGCTGCCAGATATCTCCCTTTAATATCTGGATTTTCCTTAGGACTACATTATATATATTTGAGGTATATTTTGTATACCACAACTGAACAACACAATCTATTGAACAGATCTATCTGCATACTGAAATAAAAGTATTCTGCATTTATTGCTACAGTCAGAGTTACTCAATTGTTTTTCTGGCCTTCCATTGAATTTATGCCAACTCTGTGTTCACTTATATCTTAAAAGAAATAGGAAAATCCCAATATGTTTGACATTTTGTAGCATGTGCTGCAGAAGGGCTCTTAACAGCTTGTCAATAGAATTCAGTATCAATTGATAATCAATAGAAAATAAGAAGGAAATTTCTTCTTACATTCGTGGCCATTTATGAATATCACTATGATGCATAATGCAATATCCTTCTGAATTACTCTATGTATTTTAAATCCAAAGTTTTATTTTTCTTTGACTCCTTCAAATTTTCAAATACTATCTCCACAGTATTACTATGCACTACCCTGAAAAATATGCATGGCAATCACTCAACCTTAAAACAAATTTTATTTTACATGCTCTTTCAAGATGATCATTCTTCTTGAAATCTTATTTGCCTCCTGGAAACTGTGAGAAAATCATTTGATGGCTATGGAACACTGTTACTAGTTCTTTGCAGAGGCTACGCTCTACTTCCATGTAGGGAAATCATTAAGAGTAGATGTCATTTGGAGGTGTAAGATTGGGGATTACACATCTTTCAAATGGGATAGCCATCCCACATCATCGAACAGCCTTTACCTTTTATGATGTTCCTTATTTCTCCTGCTATTCATGAGGAAAAGGCCATTTGCTTGTCAGTTTTCCCTAAGACTGTTATATCAGAAAAAGGGAATTTAATTGCTTCCATATTTACTTTCTCCTATGAGCCACTCAGAATTGGGAAGGTTTTTTTCCTATTGGCTTACCTGCTTTATCATTCAGAAAAATAGTAAAACTAATAAATTAATGTATTTTCTATCTTTTACTCCATTTCACTAGCTACATCTTAGCAGTACAGATTTTTCTACAAGTCTTTGTAGAGAATATTTATAATAAAGCATAATACGCTCAGTATCTGAAGCTAAACTTACCCATTATGACCATCATTCTTTGCCTTTCCACAGGAACAAATAGTTATAAACATACCTACTTTCTGCTCCTTACCTCTTAGAGTAAGAAAATCACAATAATATTTTAAAAAATCTCTTAGGCATACTTCCCTGAAATTAGATGGAAAGAGTCTGTACTCTACTAATGAATGACAAGAAATGAGTTGACGGACATAAAATTAAATTCTCAGTGTTCCTCTGTATTGCTGTGGAAACAATGTGATCTGCTGGTTTTTTGGAGTAGGTTCATCTTTATCTGAAAGTTTTAGTTTATGTATATAATTCTTCCCACTAGAAAATATGGGTGTAATAATAAAAATATACACCTAACAAGAAGTCTTTTAACAAAATAATCTTATATTGTTCTAAAATTACTTGGGACTAATCCAAACCTATATTATTTAAACTCAGCAAAAAGAATCAAAATACAAATACTTAATTTAAACTAAGCTTAGTTTACAACTAAGCAAAGAGAACTCAAATAAAAATATTAAAATACAGGAGCCTCTGGCTTACATGCAAAAGGCCAAATTATGTTAAAGAAAATAAATGAGAAACTTGAAATCTACTTTTGAATTTATTACACATTTCTTTATTAAAATGTATAAATGGCATCTACATATATTCAGCTGAATATTTACAAAATGTATAGAGTTTAAGAAATAAAACAGACATAATTAAATCAGTAGACTAAATCATATATATCTGGTTTAATTTTTATTTTTTAACCTTAATATTTTCTTTTCTGATAGTCAAACAAAAATCTGGATATATCAATTAATGCGTCAAACAACTTTAATCTCAACATTACGTGGTCTGTTGGCTCAACAGGTAAAAAAACGTTGATGTTATACCTCCTTTACATGTGTTCCTATCTGGAAGTTGTTCTAACATTATCTTCTACTGTTAATTAAATAAATGAAATTTTAAAAATGTGATATGCCATTATTATTTAGCTGTTACTGATAATAAATAGAGAAAAGAGAGCTTCATTATTTTGTTAACTTTCTCCTTTATTCAATTAAAATTAGATTGGTAACAAATATTATACACTAAATTAAATTTTTAAATGGCAATGTTATAAAATGTGATTTTAATTAAGATAAATTGCTTCTTTAATGACTAGAGACTGAAATTTCAATTATTTGATTCACTATTGAAAATATAAATGTAATTAACCTTAATATTTATATAAAACAATGAAATTCTTCTGTGCATGCTATTATTATCAAGCTTAGAAAATATAACCCCTTGTCAGCTTCAAGGCTCAGAGGAGTTAAAAAACAGATAATATGTGTTTCATAATAAGGTTAATAAATTTAAGTTACTGACTTAAAAAAGCATATCTGAGAAGCTGTTCAAATTTTAATGTTGAATTATGAAATGTATTCTTAGGTTTTTTTTTGAGATCAAGTCCTGCTCTGTCACCAGACTGGAGTGCAGTGGCACAATCTGGATTCACTGTAACCTCTGCTTCCTGGGTTCAAGTGATTCTCCTGCCCCAGCCTCCTGAGTAGCTGGGACTACAGGTGCACACCACCATGCCCAGCTAATTTTTGTATTTTTAGCAGAGACAGAATTTCACCACATTGGCCAGGATAATCTCAATCTCTTGACCTCATGATCCACAGGCCTCGGCCTCCCAAAGTGCTGGGAATACAGACATAAGCCACTGTGCCCAGCCCTTCTTACTTTAATTTTATTTTTACTTTCTTTTAAAAAATGTTATTGATATCTGTTTTCTATATCAAAGGTATACTATTGCATAAATGTGCTGGAAGTTGTTTCTTTTTTTTATAGAAAATTCATGGATTCTTAAGAGTTTATATTTTATTTCTGAAAATTAAGTCATTGTGCCATTTTCATAGGTAGAATATTATGGATACATAGAATTCAAGAATTAGATCTTTTGCAATTTCAGAATTTATATATTACATTTAAAAAATTAAAATTCAGGCAAATAGACATTTTGTTGCTGTTAGTGCCAAACATAGTAAAATGTTGGCATTGCAGGTTTTGTTAATGAAACATTTATAACAACTTATCCTGTTAATATGAAAGTTATTTCTGACCAGTACAAAACTGTAAGGGTTTAAAAATCTATCTACAAAATGTCTGTAATACATTTCTAATCACATTAGAACGATGATTTTAGTATGCAAGAAATCACGTGTTCTTTCAGAGTTTCAGACCAAACCTCAGAAATTTTTGTTTATTGGGTTTGGAGATGGAGTCATGGAATCTGCATTTTATAAAAGCACACAAGCTGATTACGGAAGAGGTGGTTAGTTAAAAATTAATTCAGTTACCTAGTATACTAATTCTACATATTTTTACTATTGATTAAGGTGAAAGTATTGTTAAGATTGTTGGAAATGCTTTGTTCTATTTCATTAAGTTCAGTAAATGCTTATTGAGCACTCAAAAGGTGTTAAACTAATTGAGCATTTAGCGCCTGTTGTAAATTATGGCCTCCACCCAATTTATTTAAAGCAGTGATTGTTCAATGTGTGTTAAGACAAATAAATTGATTTATTTTTTACGTTTTAAAATTAGATTGAGACACACGAAAGTATGATCTGATTTGTTTTGAAATGCTCTGTGGACTTGTAAACAGAATGAGCTCGTTTTCTAGAGTCATATGTACCTGAGTTCCAAAGAGGAGTTTACTGCTTAGTAGCTATGAACTTGGGGCAAGTGCTTTAATCTTTCTGAGGCTCAGGTTTGAATCTGAAAAATAGAGTTAATAATACCTCTGAGATATTAGTGTTTTTAAAAAAGTGTTATAAAGTCTCTAAACCAGTGCCTAGTACATAGCACTTAATCAATGGTAGCAGTTTTTAAAATAACTTTTATACTAAATTTATTTCCATCATATTTATGTCAAACTTATTTTCTTTAATTTGAAATTATAAACATGAGTATATTTTGATAATTATAATTTTATAAGAGCAATTATAAAAAACCAAGTGTAATATACATTTTAAAATTCATAAAGATATTTCCTAATATTAATTATTTAAATTATTTACGTTTTAGCTGGAACAATATCTGGGGAAGAGACTCCTATAGTTTCCAAGAATAATATAAAGGAATACAGAGATAGTTTTTCCTATGAAAAATTTAACTTTAGAAGCAATCCTAACATTACATTCTATGTGTACGTCAGCAACTTTTCCTGGCCTATTAAAATACAGGTAAGTGTTAAAGTATTTACTTCTAATGACCTTCTTTCATTTAAAAAAAGTGACACTTTTGTCCAAAGTGATGGTATATATATATTTCTTGATTTGACTAATACTAAAACTGTATTGACCCTTGACAAATAAGGTCTGTGAATGTCAGTGATGATGAATTTTTTCATAAAACACTCGTGGAACCCACAAACTCTGTATTTAAATATTTCAGTGATTATTATGTACTAAGAAATGCAGCAAAACCTGAAATAACTGAAATGTTTTGATTTTCTGATTTATTCTATACTTTAAGTGAGGGTTAAATAAATAGCCTTCTCATATAACCTCACTTGAAATTATTTTCTGTGTTTAATCTTATTTTTGCTTTAGCACATTCTGAAAATAATCTGATCTTTCATTAAAGATTTAGAATTAACGGTACTTAAAGTACCTCTTTAAGATCTGTTACCACATATCATCAATTTCCTAATCTATATTATATATGTGTTTTTCATTTCGTTTTTGTTATGGTTACTGAAAGCTTCAGATTTACTTCTAGGAAAGAATTGGAATAGTCCTTCTATCTTGTAGTCATAGTTTATGTTCTTAATTTATATTATTTTCATGAAGGAAAAGCCTATCTGTTGGAATGTTGGGATTTATTCATTCTCATTCCTTTACAATTGATTGATTAGATTTAATTTACATTAATTATTTGGATAGCTTATATATATAAATCCCTGTTCATGGCTTCTATGTTTTAAAATCTTAAAAAGATTTTCAGATCATCCCTTCCCTATGTATTAGTAAATTACAGTATATGCTCTGTAACTAGAAGTGTTTGCAGGTTTTATTTATATTAATTTCTGTATGATTTGTGGAAAGAATGAGTAATTTTAAAAATCATGTTTACTGGAAAAAATTTTTCTTCTTATTTTTAAGGTTGATTTAACACTTAAGGTAATTACTGAACTGTTCAAGAAATATGAGTATAAATTACTATTTGGTAAACTGTTGGAAATTAATTTGAGAAATTTACTTCTTCATTGTATAGTGATTGATTTAGAAGTTGATACAGTAAGAAAAATACCATAAATATTTTTTAAAATTTTAACATTGAGGATATATAACTTTATTTCCTAAGATTCATAGTCAAATATTTATCAAATTTCACTTCTTTTATTCAGTTATGTTTGAAAGGGAAAGGGTTCATCTATAGAATTTACTAAATAGTAATCAGAATTGATATGATTATTGTATTTTAAATTGCTTCCTGTCCTTTGTTTCTCATTTATATAATTTTGAAAAAACCATTACATAGTTATTTTAGAATGTTCTTGAATACTTAGTGGTTAGAAATTAACTTTCTAAATTGGGTTTTTTTGAGAACTTATTCTTCTGGAAGAGAAATCAAAATTTGTGTAATGGGGTTGAAATACTCCACTCTCTGAAAATAATACAGGGTGGAAAATAATTGAGATGGACAAGATATGTAGGCCTAATTTCTCCTTTTTATTAAACTCATTACATTATGCCTAAGGAATATGATATATTAAAGCAAGAAGTATTAATATATGTGCTTATTTATAAAACTATAATAAACTTTAAATTATATTATACAAACCACAGTAAAACTATTTTAATTATGATTTTAAACACTAGAAGCCATCATTGTACTCCCTTTCAATAAGTTCACAAGTTTTTCAAATTCCACTTACAAGTGATATCATGCAATATTTGTCTTTTTGTGATTGACTTGTTTATTTAGCATAATATCCTTCTGTTTCTTCTGTATTGTCACAAATGGCCAGATTTCCTACTTTTTGAAGGCTGAATAATATTCTATTGTTGTGCGTATGTATGTATATAAATACATATTATATATATGAATCATATAGATATATATATCACAATTTTTTATGCCTTCACCTATCCATGGACACAGCTTGTTTTTATATTTTGGCTTTTGGAAATAATGTTTCAAAGAATGTGAGAGTGCAGCTGTATCTCTGAGATATTGATTTCATTTAGTTTGAATATATCCCCAGTAGTGGGATTGCTGGATCATTGGTAGTTCTATTTTTAATTTTTTGAGGAATCCTCATACTGCTTTACATAATGGCTGTACCAATTTACATTCCACCAATTGTGTTTAAGAATTTCCATTGCTCTACATCTATTCTAACACTTGTTATCTTTTGTATTTTTGATATTCACCATCATAACAGCTGTGAGGTGATATCTCATTGTGGTTTTAATTTGGATTTCTAAGATAATTAGAAATACTGAGCACCATTTCATATACCTATTGATCATTCGTATATCTTCTTTGGAGAAAACTATAATCAGGTCATTTGTCCATTTTTTAAATTGGGTTTTTGTTTACTTGCTATTGAGTTTCATGATTTCCTTACATATTTTGGATGTTAACTCCTTATTGAATGGATTGTTTGCAAATATTTTTTTCTATTCTGCAAGTTTCCTCTTCAGTTTGTTGATTGTTTTCCTTTGCCATGCAAGGAAATTTTTTTCAGTTTGATGCGGTCCCACTTGCTTATATTTGCTTTTGTTGCCTGCATTTCTGGTATCATATCCAAAAACATCATCAATAAGGCCAGTGTCAAGGAGCTTAGTCCCTTTATTCTGTTCAGGATTTTTATAATTATAGGTCTTATATTTACATCTTTAATTCATTTTGAGTTGATTTTTTTGTATGATATAAAGTACAATTAGAATTTCATCTTCTGCATATAGATATACCAGTGTTACCAATACCATTTATTGAAGAGACTATCTTTTCCTCATTGTTTATTCCTGGCACTGAGTCAAAGATCAGTTGACCTTGTGTGTGGGTTTATTTCTAGGCTTTCTATTCTCCTCCACTGTTATTAATGTACTTTTATGCCAGCAACTTACTGTTTTGATTACTATAGATTCTTAATATAGTTGGAAATCAGGAAGTGTGATGCCTCCAGCTTTGTTCTCCTTTTTACAAAATTTCTTTGACTATTTGCAGTCTTTTTTGGTTCCTTTTGAATTTTTGGAGTTTTTTCTATTTCTGTGAAAAATGTCATCGGAATTTTGATAGCAATTGTATTGACTCTGTAGATCACTTTGGGTAGTATGGCTATTTAAACAATGTTAATTCTTCCAATCAATGAACATAGGATAGTTTTCCATTTATTTTTGATGATTTCAGTTTCTTTCATCGGTGCTTTATAATTTTCAGTGTGCAGGTCTTTCATTTCCTTTGTTAAACTTAATTATTTTATTATTTATGATTATATTTTAAATATGAATGTTTGGTTAACTTTTGTTTTGGAGAGTTCATTGTTAATGTGTAGAATTGCAACTGATTTTTGTATGTTGATTTTGTATCCTGCAACTGGACTGAGTTTATTAGTTTTAACAGTTTACCGGTGGTCTCTAGGGTTTCCCGTGTATGAGAACATTTGTGATCTGCAAACACAGACAAGTTTTCTTCTTCTTTTCCAATTTGGAAGCCTTTTATTTTTCCTTGTCTACTTGTTGTGTCTAGGTCTACCAGTACTACATTGAATAGAAGTAGTGAAACTGGACATTCTTTTCTCTTTCCTAAAATTAGAGGAAAAACTTGCTGCATTTTACTGTAGTGTGGGATGTTAGATATTGGATTGTTATTATATATTCTTTATTGTTTTGAGGTACATTTCCTTTAAACCTAATTTGTTGAAAGCTTTTTTTTTAAATCATGAAACAGTGTTAAATTTTGTCAAATGCTTTTTCAGTATCTATTGAGATGATAATATGATTTTTGTTTTTCATTCTTTTAATGTGGTATATCACATTTTGGTTCATATATTTTGAACCATCCATGCATCCCTGGGATAAATCCCACTTGATCATGTTTTATGATACTTTTAATGTGCTGTTGAATAAAATGTGGTTGGCTAGCATTTTGTTTAGGATATTTGCATTTATGTTCATCAAGGACATTGGCTTATAATTTTCCCCCCATATGTTCCCTATGGTAAGCGGTGGTACCACAGTATTTATGTATGTATTTGTTTGTTATCCCTCTTACTGATATTTCACCATTGTATTTATTTTTTAAATACCAGAATACAGCATTATTATCTATAGTCACCATGTTGTACAATAGAAATTTTCAACTTAATCCTCCTATTTAACTAAAATTTTGTATCCTTTTACCAACATCTGTGAAATGCCATTGATTTTCTTTTCTTGTAGTCTCTTTGTCTTACTTGAGTGTCAGAGAAATGCTGGCCTTACAGCATAAGTTTGGAAGGGTTCACTCTACTTCATATTTTTGGAAGAGTTTGAGATGGCTTGGTGTTAATGCTTTAAATGTTTGTTAGAATTCACCAGTGAAGCCATCTATTCCTGGGCTTTTCTTTGTTGGAAAGTTTTTTATACCTGATTCAATCATCTTAATTATTGTTGGTGTGATCAAGTTTCCTATTTTCACATGATTCAGTCTTGGCAAGTTGTATTTTTCTAGGAATTTATTCATTGTTTTCTAAGTTATGTAGTTTGTTGGCATAAAATTGCCCATAGTCATTTCTTATGACCTTTTGGTATCTATGGTGACCGTAGTAATGTCTCCTTATACATTTATATTTGTTTAAGTATTGTCTCTTTTTCCTTGGTTAGTCCTGTGAAAGATTTGTCAATTTTTAAAATTGTTTTAAGAACCAACTGTTTATCTTTTCTATTGTTTTTCTATCCTGTATTTCATTTCTGCCATGATCTTTATTATTTCCTTCTTTCTGCTAACTTTGGGCTTCATTATGAAGCAATTCTGTTGCCATTTATTGTAAGGCAGATCTAGTAGTGATGAATTTCTTCAGCTTTTGCTTGTCAGCTTTTATTTCTCCTTCATTTCTGAAGAACAACATTGCCAGGTACAGTATTCTTGGTTGGCAGTATTTTTCTTTCAGCACTTCAAATATATCATCTCACTCCTTACCTGTGAGGTTTCTGCTGAGAAATCTGTTGATATCCTTAGAAGTATTCTCTTG